ATGCTATTTTACCATGCAAGGACATATAAGGGACACAGTACACAAAATATATCTCGATTAATAACATAATCTATCAGAGCACGATTTCGAACATAGCACATGTTAAAATATGGAACATGTAACATATCTCATCTCACAACGATCATGACACATCAGAGGCATCAGAATCACATAACCGCATATCATAAATCACATATTATACAGGGATCCCATATCAAACTCACGTCGGAATTACAGAAGGCACGTAGTGCCGAAACACTACCGTGTTTGTCAAAGTCAGAAAATCAGAGTACTCTTGACATGTAGGTTTAGAAGTCACAAGCAATTGTATATAGGTATACATCTAACATAGGCATTTCATGCAATACTGAACATTTCACGAAATTCAACACATATTTCACAATACATGTCCCGAGATAAATTTCAGAAATCAGGAATCAGGTTTTTTTATCAAATAAAGGAGCAACGTGGTTTTTAAAACATACACAAAGAATTGTAATATCACTCACAGTATTCGTCGAAATTGAAATCTGAAGCTCAGAGCGACGACTCACTGGTCAAGGCACGTATCTTCAACATATCTGTAATTGCCACAAATTATAAAGTCAAAAATCACTATTTGAACTCCCCCCTGGCCTAATTCTAATCTAAATAAAATCCCGAATTTCAAGGTGGACTGGTTCATTATTCTCGTGGATCGGCTTGAACCAGCCTCCCTTTTTCATAACCTGACCTAACCAAATCCTTGATACCCATGAACTGACCTCCGAATCACCAAACCGGTCAAATTTCCCACCAACCCAATTGAACCAGTGGGGACTCCCTTAAACTAAGCCGAACCGACTTCAAATCAAGCGAACCCAGGTTAAACAAGTCAAAATCCCCTAGAAATATAGCTAAACCAATTAGATTTCCTATAATACTAAGCTGAACCGGCCATGTCTCTCATGAACCGGGGCTAAACCGACACCAATTTCAATGATTTTGGGGTGAACCGAGGTTAAACTCACATAAATCGAACTGGACTAGCTTCATCTACATAAAACCAAGCTGAACCGATCATTTTCCCTAAAGAACCGAGGTGAACCAGCCTTCCCAGCTTCTAAACCGGCTTAAAAGTCCTAAAATAGGCTGGTTTAGTTAATAATCCCTATAATTTTGGGTGAACTGGAGCGTTCACCACCTAATTTGATCTAAGTTCCTTCCCCAAATTCCCCTAGATCGGGAACCAGTCCTATTTTCTGAGTTTGGGCTGGATGGATTAAACCCTGAATCGGCCCTCTAAAGCACTGAACCAGCCGGTTCAGTCATTGTTTTGCTAAATTCCCAGTGAACCGGTGACCCCCAAGTTCCAATCTCAGGTTAACCCAATGGTGCCTTGTGTGCTGGTTCAGGAACCGGTCCAAGGGTCCCCAACCAGACCGGTTAGACCCCTGAACCAGTCAGTTCTAGTCCAACTAGGTTGGACCCGACCAGGCCACCTTGAGATAGACCCAACGATTAGCCGGGTCTGTCTTCCTTACCCGGAAACCCGGGTAACAGACCCAGTTTCCTGCACGCCTAACTCCCTTTGTAACCCAAAATTTTAGGCAAATGGCTACCTACCTGGCTCGATAAGTGGCTGGATACTATAGAACTACCCCCGACGAACTGACCTTCACACCGAATTGAAAGAAAAGAAATCCAAAGGTTCCTGAATTTTGCAAATAACCCAGTCAGCTCCCCTGCAAAACTTCTGAAAAAGCCAACGCCCAATTCTCTCCGATTCTCTCTCTCTCTTTGAAATTGATCGATGATTCCCCTCTTATAGCCATCGAAGGCCTCGTAGGTATCGTCGAGACCAGGCGTTATGCAAATTTTGGACTAGAATTCGATGATTCCAGTGCGTGGGTATGCGACCGACCCACTTTAGATTTTTTTTTTTTCTGGTCATTACAAATGCTATCCAAGCACACCAAAGCGTCCTGGATACTGGAATTAACGTACCATGACGATTCTTTTTTTGTAATTTTTAGAGTTTCTAAACTCTCTAAGAACTCTTACACCTTCTTAAACACCTTCGATTAGGAGAAATTTATTTTCATCCCTCAAGTTTAAACTCAATTGCAAAATCATCCCTATAATTTTTATAGTTAGCAATTTTATCCTTTTAGTAATTTTTGATAATATTTTTTGCTAAAAATATTTAAATTATATGTATAAAAACTAATATATCTTTTTTGTACATTATAACATGTGCCCAAATAAGATATAAAATTTATCACATTTAAACCTTAATTTATATTACATCTAAAACTTGATTTATTTATTTACTATTAAATAAATAATAACCTTTTATATAACAAATTTATTAAATCAATAATTGATTTCATGGTTGTCAAGTTATTCTCCCCTCCAAAATCAATTCTGTTCAATTTGTAAAAGAGTTTAAATTGAAAACTTTGTTTTAATTTTTATTTTAATTTTTTGACAAAACTAATTAAAATCAAGTTCAAATAATTAAAAATCATTTCTACAAATTAAAAATTTGAACATTTCCAATTTAAAAGTTATATTGAAAAATAATATTAATTAATAAAGTGTAACATTTTTTTATAAGAAATAAATAATATATATGTGCACCTCTCTCAAGAGTAGTTAGTCATAGAAGTTGTCAGATATTTGAAAGCAAAATGTAGAGATGACTTACCCATTTTATTTGCTTCTTCCCTATAGTTTTGCACAATCCATAAACCCAATTGACTTCCAAATCATAAGAACGAAAATGATCATGATACTCCCTCTAAAAATTAAACACACTCTTAACATTTTATTTTTACTTAAATTTATAGCTATTTATTAGACACCAAATAAATAATAAATAACCTAATATAACACTGCTTTCAGAGAAAAACTTCTAACTTATGCATGTTTAGTTGCATTGTTTCTTTTAATATACAGGTATCATACACAGCAAAAATAAAAATTTTTTTTATTTATTTAATTATCAATAATATATTATTTATTTTTCATAAAATTGTTATGCTTTACTAATTAATATTATTCTTCAGTATAACTTTAAATTGTAAAGTGTTTGAATTTTTAATTTGTGAAAATAATTTTTTAATTATTTAAACTTGGTTTTAATTAGTTTGTCAAAAACTAAAATAAAAATTAAAATGAAATTTTCAATTAAAACTCTCTCTCAAATTAAACGGAATGATTTTGGAGAGAAGAATAATTTGATAACCATGAAATCAATTGTTAATCCTTGATTATTAATTTAATAATATTTGAGATTATTAAAATTTTTTATATAAAAGTTATTATTTATTTAATAGTACATAAATAAATTAAATTTTAGATATAATATAAATTAAATTTTAAACATGATTAATTTTATATTTATTTAATAATATATAAATAAATCAGGTTTGATTTTATATTTAAGACGTTATTGAGACATGTCCTGAACGAAGGACACAGACCCAGTATTACAGCAAAAGTGACTTGAGGGGATCTCACGCCGCCGCATTGTATAGTTTTCCCCCGGGTCAATTTCTTGAGACTTGGAAGTCACTGCGTGTGTAAAATCAAATCATATCAAATTAAATTAATAAATTAATTAAAATTAATTTTTAAAAATTTTATTTAATTTGATTTGATTTAGTTTAAAAACTTAAAATTATGATTAGATTTAGTTAAACAATCAACTCAAACAATTCTAAACTAAAAATTAAAAGTTTGAAAATATTTTTTTCTATAAAAAAATACATACAATGCATGCACACATAAATATATTTATGGAAACATATATGTGTGTACACACACATATATATACATATAAATTTTATTACTCATATAAATATAAATATACATATTTATATATTTATATATATATATACACAACGCATGTGCACACGCACACACATATAGATATAAATGTATGTGTTTGTCTTAAAATATGTGTGTGTATATATATACATTTTTATATTTATTTGAATATATATTTATATATATATTATACATATACATGAAGATATATATGTATGTGTGTTACAAATGTATATACATTTATACATGCATATAATATATATATTTGATAATAAAAAATTAAATAAAAAATTTATTTAAATATTTATTAATAATAATAATTTAACTTAAAACCAAACCACACCAAATTAAACTAAAATTTAAATTTGATTGGTTTTTGTCTACAAGTAAATTATTTTTTTATCCGATTTCTAAAGTATTAAAATCAAAAAATCAAAAAACCAAAAACCAAATTTATGATTTGCATTAAAAAATTAAATGAGGGAGGTAACATTTCGAAATAGTCTGTAATTAATTACCCTTATTTATTCATCTCCTTCCTCCCATTAGCTACAAATGATAATATTTACTAAATGTTTTTGTTATTTGATATTCGTTAATTGGTCTTATTTTTAATATTAGTACTTACTAATATTACTCAATCACACAAGACCAATGAAATATTGTTAGCTAAAAAACAGTGACAACATTAATAAAATATAAAAATTTCTGAAATATTTTTTGTGTGAACCCACAAAATAACAACTGACGTAAGGTTCCCTCGTTAAAAAGGGGGAAAATAATAACTTTTCTGAGTGTCTAAAGCACTTTTGAAAAGAGAAAAATGCTAAATTGGAGAATTTTTATATAAATGTTTAATTATGTGACAGCGTGGCCATGATATTTTATGAAAAATTTTATATTTTAAAGCAAATGGATGGCAAGTAAGACGTTATTTTGTGCAAAATTTTAATAAATTATTATTTTATAAAATTAAAAATATCCTATATTAATATAACTTATATTTGGTGTTAGTAAGTGATTAATAATCTCAACTTTTATTTAATTAAAAGATTCATCTAACGGTCCAATGTCTCTCAGAACACAAGATCAAATCTAACGGAAGTGCGCTAGGTAGAGGATTGAGCCAAGGCCAAACTCAGATTTTGATAAATGTACATGTAAACAGACGAGAGCTCCATTTACCATATATACAATCCTTCAATATAGGTGTTTGCTCTGGTCATCGAAATATGACCAGCGAATGAAAAGGGAAAAATCGAACCTATATCGTCTTCGCTGTGTTGGGAACATTTCTTAGCTTCTACCTTTAAGAAACCAGTGAAAGAAGCTAAGGTAGCTTATCCACTGGAAATTGAAAGTAGCAGAACAACTGACCCAGGTGTCCGCCGCCGCATCCGGCGAAGACAGAACCTTGTCCATCCTGTTTTTCAATAGACCAACATTTTGGCCTTCCAGCGGCGGCGGTCTCCGCTTAACATTGTCAATTACCTCTCCACTGGAAACAGAGGTGGTAGAACAACTGACCCACTTGTCTGTCACCGCATGCGGCGAACGAAGACTAACCTCGTCCGTACTGTTCTTTAACAGAACAACATTTTCGCCTTCGGCGATGGAGGTGGTGTCTGCTCAACATTGGCAGTTACCTTCATTTTCCTCGTCTCTGTACTCCTGAATATCCTTCAAAGCCAAACACCTCATCCATCATTGGCCTCATTTCCTTTTCTGGCTGTAGGCACCGGAATGCCCACCTCCGCCACCGACGTTGTCATTCCTCTCCACCTCAGGATCTGACTCGAAGCCCAGCCATGGATCGATCAATTCATTGAAAGCCCTGTTTTGGATCCTGTTCATAGCCAAATTGGCCAGTTGATATCATGCCTGTGCCTGCTAATATCAACCGCAGGCATTGACGATATGAGCTCAATTAGCACAACTCCAAAGCTGTAAACATCGCTTTTATTAGTCAACTGGTAACATTGGTGGTACTCTGGATCGACATAGCCAGGGGTCCTTGGGGAGCCGTTGAGACGTGCGTAACATTGTTAGGAAAGAGTCTGTAGATGTGGATGATAATTTAGGATATGATAGAGCAAATAAATTATTTATTAATTTTTGTTAAAGTTTTTTACATGTTTTAACATGAATAAGAATTCGTCAAAATTTATGATGCGATTATGATTTAATTAAGATATATCAAACTGCCACTTCTACCTGGAGAGCCCAAAATCTGCAACTTTAACGCAGAAGTTGTCATCGAGGAGGATGTTGTTGGTCTTGACATCGCGGTGAATGATGTCGGAGGCATGGAGGTAGGCGAGGGCAGCCGCCGTCTCAATGGCTATGTTCATGCGGACGGGCCATGTGAGACAGCCTTCTTTTGCGTGGCAGCCGTGGAGGTGGTCGGCAACTGTACCATTGGGGATGTACTCGTAGACAAGGAGCAGGCCGTGACTTTGGCGAGAGGTGCAGCGTAGAGGGATACAAGGTTGCGGTGGCGGAGGGGGTCAGAATTTCAATTTCATTCATGAATTGGGTCACCCGCTTGTAATTGTGCTCATAGAAACGTTTTACCGCAACTTCCCTCCCATCCTTGAGCTTGCCTAGTTGAGAAGAATAACATCTATGATTAAGCAACGTATTCAATGTGAATGATTGCTACAAGCTTACAGGTACGGGAAAAAAGTAGTTCCACTTTTGTTATTGTTAACTCTAGGAAATATTGGATCTGTTTGGCAATATTTATGTTGTTTATTTAGTTTTCCAAATAAAATATGTGTGCTAATGTTTGCCTTGTGAAACAATTTATAGCTCATAACGTTTGACACTGAAAGTTTATAAAATTTTTGGAAGCATATAAATTCTACTTACATTTGCTTAGGAAAAGAGAAATTTCACTGTGAATTTTCTTGTCCAGAATAAAACGGATCATCTTCTGTATGATAAACAGTGAGAAACTGTAGCATGCTATGCTATGTGGGAAGGATTTACCGTGGTAAACAGTGCCAAATCCTCCATCTCCCAATTCTTTAGAAGGATCGAAATTGTTTGTGGCTTCTTCGAGTTCTTTGAGGAGAAGACAGGTACACCAAAGAAGATACTACCTCCTTCAAGGTCTGCTTTTGACGGATCAGAAGAACTGTTCCTTGAGAATATGTGAGAAGAGACGTAACTCCATCTTTTGCCAATTCCCAAAAAGAGTGCGATCAGGACGATTAAGACTACGGGTACACTGGAGAAGACATATAGAGATGAATTCTTCAAAATTCAAGAAAACAGGTAGAAAACGGGGTTTAGCTGCCATGTGTACAGGCATACACAAAAATTGATTGATCGCTGTATATTACCTGTTCCTAGAATAAGCTTCAGGTTTCTTTCTTCCTGCAAAATTTCCAGAGAAAACCTCTTTTAGGCAGCTATCAAGTTAGTGCAGAGATAACACCATGCACATTCAAAAATGCAAATATACCTACTCCCTCAATTATGCAATGGAACTCGTTAATTCATTAGATGAACAATTGCCACCATCATGGTGACATTTCTTGCATTCATTTGAGACATCGAATCTAATATGGTACTCAGAGGAAATAGTGAGAATAAATCTGTGGCTTTTTTTTCCCACCTCGATGGTTCTACCGCCGTTACTGTAAATTCTTGACAAGGCAGTTCAGGATAGCTAGCTGATGGAAGATGATGATTAGGGTCTGAAGAATAGTAGATCGTGTAACCTGAGCAATTTTTGTAACTGCTATAGTTTTGGAAGTGACGTTTTGTCTTCTGGCTTCGTCCGGAATCGTTGCTGCGGAAGCATTTGACCAAGGTGATATGGGAAATGCTGTAGCGTACATAGAAGATGAATTGAAGAGAGGGAAGTAACTGAAAATAATCACAGTTTTTTTGGCTAATGAGGTTACTTCTCCAAATATCCCTTACCTTGATACTGTTACCCGAGAATTCGTCTACTTCCCAGAACAAGTCTCCCACTTGTATTTTTGGAGTTTTTTTATTGCTACAATTCATAGGCAGCAACCCACATCCACGGTCTGTGATGTTGTGGGAAAGGGAATTGGAGCAGTCCAAGAATTCCACAGTTGAAGGACTTGGGACAACTATGGCGGTGAGCAAGCACAGAGGAGAGACGAGAAAAGAAAACCAGAATGAAGGGAACAGCCATTGGGAATTCAAAATTCGCAATTTAATCGAAAAGAGACAATCACCACAGGCTGAGGAGGAACCAATTCCTCCTTGCTTAAAAATGTCCTCGTAGATTTTGCAAATTCACTATCGCCGTAGATGATGCTGTTTCCTCTTCTGGAACACGGCGGTAGACTAGAAATTACGGATTGGCCAGACCCAATCAGTGGTTCACATCCCCTTTCTCCTCGGAGACCCCGCCCCATAAGGAAAAGTTGACCCATGGCCTGACCCTCTCTATCTGTAAATATAACTCAAATGATATATTTTAAATCTATTTTTAGTTTAAAAAGGCAATGCAGGTTCCAGGAAACTTCAAACGAGGAGTAAGTAGAACGGAAAACTTTCTCATCCATGGATGAGTGGGTGGTGTGAAACGGACGGGCAAATCAAAAAGAATCCTGATGCAGAGATATAGTCAAATTGGTGCTCTGGTCAAACTCAGAAGTCACAACGCAAGGACCCTGCTTGTCATTTGCTCCATCATTTTCAAGTTGAAATTTCTTCTCCATAGCATCCTACTTAGAGGGTATTTGAGGATTTCACTATCATGAAAGAAAAATAATAAAAATTTTACAATTTAATAAATTTTTTTAAGTTTCAAAAAAAATGTAAAGAAATAAATTTAATTAGGAATTTTGAAAATTCTAATTAGAAATTCTTTATTAATTATTTAATTTGCTGTTTTTCTCTCCCTTCATGCAGAATTCTATTTAAATTTGCAGGGGAAAAAAATGCAGTACCTAAAGTTCAGAATTTAGGAGTGTCAAAAACGCGCGAGTGTGGCAGGTTGCTTTTGGACTTT